TAGATAGCCCTTTAACCACAAGGATTTGAGGAACTCAAGGCAAATGGAAAATGCTTTCTGCAGGTTGTGAAGCTCGAACCTTCTGAAAATAGCCCGAATGTGTTTCCGAGCTCCTCAGGCAGCTGTTTGCCCATCTGCTGGCCCGTTCCCCGCGTTTCACGGGGAGGGTGCCACTCTTCCTTCAGGCCCTCCTTGCTGCCTACGTGTTGGTGATCGGGAAGCAGGCTATTCCTGAAGCGGACACACTGGGTTCTCGCCATTTGAGACTCCGACTGCTTTTTTTGGAAATGTTGTTTGTTTCAGGAAATCCTGTAGCATCTTTCCAGTCTCCTGAAAGAAAAAGAAAAATGTGACTTAGACCTTGGCTCTGTTCATTTGGCTTTCCCTATCTAACCCACACCACACTGACAAATACCACATCTGTCTTGACAAAGCTAGTTCACAAATAACTGCTCATTCAAAACTTGAAGCTGTTGTAAGAGTCCTTACTTGTTACTTGATCTTGTGAACAGGAATGCAAAGTTTGGTTTTGAGAAAGACCCTGAAATGACTGCAGGTCCGGTGACCTTTGCAAATCTATACGGAATCACCATCTAGAAGAGAACACTGCACATTTTTTTGTGTGTCTTTTGAGAGCACAAAAATATTGATGGTTGTCCAAACATAAATGGGAATTTTCGGGAAAATATTTAATTTTTAAGTTTTGGATTCATCTCAGCATTGGCAATTCAATGCTTTTTTAGACCAAATTCATCAGTGATTATTCTCTCTATACCAGAGGCAGCAGGGACTTTGTCATTCCTTCCATTTGGGGGTTTGGTTCTTCTTTGGTCATTTATTTTCCTATCCATTGGCTTAATCTCATTTTCACTTCTGCTTTGATATCTTAATGACAATAGCATTGAAGCTGTTGCTACTTGCTTTATAATAAACCCTTATAAGTAAGTTGCTGGCTGACCAAGCAGCCAAAAGAATGGATGACTTATTCAGATACCACTTTAGAAGGAGAAATAAAAAATCACAGACGGAGGACTTTTTTTTTTTTTTCCCCAGGAGATAGGTGATTTGGTAAGGGAACTGCCCCCTCTGAGGTCTGTTTGGGCTTTCTGCGGGGATATGTTTCCACATCCAGCTCATACCTGGGCATTTAGGGCTCTGGATGTTAATGAGAAAGGAACAGAGGTGGGAGCAGGCTAGAGTTCCTGGCTTTAACCAGAAGTAGCTGAGTAGAACCAAAGCTGAATTTTGGCCAGCTCCTCGGGTTCTGAAGCACCTGTTCTCACCTTTAGATATGTCTGCTAAAAAATCATGTTGATTTGAATAATAATTTAGTCATTCATTTGTACCTCTTCATAGTAGAAAGCCTTAGCTTGGTAAGTGTGTTAATGGAAGTTACCGGTCAGACCTATGAACTAAATCCTGAACTGATGCTGTTTCACCCACTAAACTTGTGCTTTTTCTCCCCCATACAATGAGGTGACTGGTGCTAGTTTGTCTTGGAGAGAGCTGTGTTTCAGAGGAACCCCACGGTCACAAAATATCACCATCAACAATGAAACTATGTGTAGAGAGTCATGTCTAATTTCATTAATTCTTTGGCACTAGTGTCCAGATTCTAGAAAGAGGGTCCTGAGCCAAACTGACCCCGAGTCATTATATTTGGGATCAGCAGCTTGCCCTTTCTCAGTAACATTTGTTGGGAATTCTCTAAGTAAAGTAGAAACTCACTGGAGTTTGTGTTAAGAGGAAATGATAGTACCCACTGATGGACCTGCTACAATCCTGAGAGGAATGTTTGTAGGGAAGGTTTGGAGAGATGGAGGAGGAGACTAATCAGACAGAGTTTACTGGAGCATTTGTAATGGCATTTAATTATGTTTATGATGTCATTGCAGGGAGAAAGTCTTTATCTTATAGACACTTTCACACTACACAAAACCCCTACTTACTCAGAACGATCCACCTGGTTGGATGGTCTCGAGGCCAAGTGAGATTTTGTAAAAGGCCTTTTTAAAAAAAAATTTATTTTATTTTACTTAAATCAGATTAATTAGCATATAGTGTCTTATTAGTTTCAGAGGTAGAGTTCAGTGATTCATCAGTTGCATATAACACCCAGTGCTCATTCCATCAAGTGCTCTCCTTCATGCCTATCACCCAGTTACCCGATCCCCCCACCACCTCCTCTCCAGCTACCCTCTGTTTGTTTCCTATAGCTGAGTCTTTTATGGTTTGTCTCCCTCTCTGATTTTGTCTTAATAAAAGGCCTTCTTGAAACTGTAGCCTATACCAAACAAAAGCCTATACCAAAGTTTCTCAAATTTTACCATGCAAAAGAATTCCCTATATCACCAGTAGTGCTTATTATAAATGCAGATTCCCAAATCTTCATCTTGTATCCTCCATCCAGATTATGATTCAGTAGTTTTCAGGTGGGCCCCAGAAACCTGCACCTTGATGAGAAGGCCAGGTGATTCTTAGGCAGGAGTTCAGAAAGACGCTTTGGAAACACTGTGCATTTTTGTTTTGTTTTGTTGCTTTATTTCTTAGCTGGGTCATTCCAGGCAAAATGAAATCTTATGGTTAATATTATAGTCTTTTAGACATTTTGTAAGTTACCCAGGCAAAATTTTAATTCCAGGACCATTTCTATCTTACGACTTATGTGAGTGGTCGTCCTCCATGATCGGTTAGTGAATGCCCAGGTACTTCTTAAAAGGATTATTTCTCTAAAACTAATTGTCTTGGATTTTTATAGGTTTTCACATTTTATCAAGCATTTCACATCTGCCAAAGCCTCACTGCTCTACAAAAGTGTATTCCTACCCCTATGCCACTTGACTCCTACAGACTGTTGAAATGGATTTTTGAAAAAACTAAGGATTGCTTTCTTTGACCTAAATGATCACTGGAAGCATCACTTGTATCTCCACCCAATTCGTGGTCTCTACTTCTGGGGCCCTGGGTCAGCACCAGAGTGCCTGTCTTTTTTGACCCTGCTTAAAAACAAACAAACAAACAAACAAAACAGAACAAAAAAGGAAAGAAAGGATTTTAATACTGCAGCTTTATGGCATAGTAAAAGTAAACCAAAGGGGCATACTTGAGGACTGCTTGCTGGAAGTTGCAAATGACAGTAGTGACCTCTCCCTGGTCCCACCCAGACTTCCTTTGACCTGGGTGACCTGGAGCAATTTCCGGAATCTGGATTCTGTTACCAGAACTGTCCCTCCTCTGCACCACAACATCCACTGGCCTGAAGAAGGTGCTGTTTCCCAGGAAAAGGAGTGAAATCCCCCCAAGAACCCTCACAGGGCCATAGTTGGAAGAAAAAGTATTGCTAACCAAACGACTTCCTCTGCATATTCTGCCTTTCCCTGGTTACATTCTTGGAGATTTTTATTTAAGATAACTTTCAGCATCTCTTGTTAGAGGTCAGATATGAATGAGAAGATTTTGTTTGACTTGCTAATCTTGTGACAAACAGTTTATACCCAGTGTAGCTTCTTGTCTTTGCTGACTGGCTCTTTGAGGGAACTCGCTCCGGGTTAAGGCTGTGGAGAGCCTCTAAAAATAAACAACATGGTTGCTTCTTGGTGAGAACATATGTGAGCAGATGGCAACTGGTAACAGCATATGGTGGCAACATGAAAACAGTATGTTGCAGAAAGCTCTGAGGGGACCTTCCTCGTCCATGCCTCTGCAGGCCCTCCAGTGCCCCATAATCCCAGTGACACAGAGTTCTGACTGGGAGGTGTGTCCCACGGAAGCATGAAAGCATGTCACGGGGGGCTTGTTAGTGGGCTGAATGTTGGAGACGGTAAGTTACAGGGGATGGAAAAAGGCTTCCTTGTCCATTTTCAAGTTGAGAGATAAAAGGCACAAATCTGACAAAAAAAAAAAAAAAATGGGGAGAGGACTCCACAAGGCCTTTTGTCTTTTGTCAAAAGAAGTTTTCAAGTCCGGTTTGCGGAGTGACAGGCTACTTCTGGAAGACATGCCCTAGACGAATGGCAGGGACATGGATGTTAAATCCATGTAAGGAGCTAGGAAAGAAATATATTCACCCCAGGCCTGGAAGCCAGTCAGGGATTCATCTGTCAAATAAGTTATATAACTAATATTATTACGTCCCTTGATCACTTCTTGTTTGCCAGTCTCTTAAATATATCATCTCTTTGTGAACTTCTAAAATCCTCAGGGGTAGCATGATGTATGCTTCATGTATAGAAACTGAGGCTTGGGTGAATCCAGCCACTTGTTCAAAGATTCACAGGAAACCAGTGACAGGGCAGGGGTTTCAACCTACGTCTTCTTACGCAAAAATCCTATATTTGTCATTGATTCGACCTCAGATAGAACACTTAGCAGTGTTTTCTCTTCCATTGAAGGTATTTTTTGATATATTTTCTTTTATAAGAATATGGCGGGCGGTATACAAGATGTCGTTGCTGTTACTTTAAAGAAATGAAAGTTTAAAATTTCACAATGTAATAACTATCATGGAAGAGAATGTTTAATCCATCCCGAGCAGCCCTAGATTTTTAAACTGCAGCTCAGCAGCACCAAACCAAGATACACTTGTATTTAAGGAAACTGAAGTCTAGGCCAACCAAATGAAACATTGATTTTTATTCATAACGTGTAGGCTGTCTTTTGTCAAAGGAGGTCAAGGCCTTTCCTGTTCATCTTTGACATAAGTCACGGTATTTATTTTACCATTTCCATGTATAAATTGTACATTGTGATTTTGAAGCTAGAGCGTGTTAAAGGGAAAACAGAACTCAGGAGCCTGACTGGCGGTTAAGGGATGCCAGTAGATCTGGGAACAGAATCCAGAATCCCTTCTAGAGCCTTGGTCCCCGAGTAGCGGGGACTTTATATGTGTGGGGGAATAAGTACATTCAGAGAGCCCTCTTCGACTTTGAATCTTTGTATAGCTCTGTGCAAGGCATCGCCTCAGTAAAATAGCTAATGACTGTGCTTTTTAAAACTCCTAGCTGTCTGCCCAGTTGTTACAACACCCTCTGGCTCAGTGGGCAGCTTGTGCTCCAGACAGTCCCAGGTGCTCTGTGGGTACCTTGGTGAGTACACTTGTCTGCTTTATACCTCATTTGACGTAGTGATATCAAGTCCATCTTTAGTGTCTGTCTCCTGTGGGGGAACTTGTCAGAGGCCAGAGAGAATTCTGGCATGCAGCCTTGTAGCTGAACAGCCACAAAGGTGTCCCCAATTTTTAGTCCGTAAATGATGATTTGATGGCCGTATGTGCAAGAATGGGTTGTGGGTACATGAGATCTGTGCTCTAGGGGTGACACAGTGGTCTGAAATCCGGATCTGCTGACCCCCGTGGATGATGCCCTCTGGAGGGTTGAGCCATATGGCCAGAATATCAGGGGTCCTTTTGGGGTGTCTTTTTTTTTATATCTATGTTCTCATGCCTGGCATACAGTAGTCGCTCGATTAATGTTTCTTGTACTGACCTGAAGGGGACGAAGGAGCTTTTCTTTTTTAAAGTTCTGGAGGGAGGCCTGTGGGAGAGTTGCCACTATTTGTGACCTTCCTATTGTCATTCCTGGGTTGCATGAGAATGAGAATGGATTGTCATGGGTCAAGTCTTGGCTGACTGGCCCTGGGAGCTTGCCACTGAGCCCTGACGCTCAGCGCAAGTGCAAACCCCTCGGAGCTAGCACTGCATGTCAGGCTGAGGAGCACTGAGGTCTCAGTGCTTTATGATTTGGAACACTAATCAATTCAGTCAGCTTTTATTGAGAGCCTACTGTATGCTGAGCAGTGAGATCACAGCAAAGAATAGGACTTAGGTGATCCTGATATTTAAGAACACAGGGGCCCAGTTGTCCCTGATCCATGTTCAGGAAGAAATGAAATAGACTCACAGTCCTGGCATTGGTTCACTCACATTTTTAAGACCCCAAGAAGGTTTACATTATACTGATAATAAGTGTGGGCAGGGGTCCCAGATACGGACAACAGAAATGTTTTTATTACCTTAGTAGATAATCGGGTTCACTGGTATAGCCTACTCTGCAATTTACCATGCCTAACCTTGCTTCTTAGGAATCAAGGAATGAAGGATTGAAGTAGTTTATTTACAGTGGTTTAAGCTGGGTTTCCTCGAAAAAGAACTGATTCTATTGAGAACATACATTTATTTTCATGTACAAAAGTGGCTAGAAGCTGCCATGTGAATAAAGAGTAAAAGGTTTAATCCATGCTTTTCAATTTCCCTTTTGTGAGACAGAATATATTTTGTTTTCAACCTCTACATTTGTATTTTATTTCACTATCTAAACCAAGGATTTAATTGTCTGATGTTTTTCCCACTAGCTCTTTGGAAAAGAAAAGGGAAGGGAATAAGAGAAGGAAAGCATTTGTTGAATCCCTCCTATGTCCCTGGCACTTAGAGACACAGCGTCCTGATGCTCCCATGTTGGTAGGTTGGGGACGGCCGGAATGACCATCCCCACATGTCAGGAAACTGTGGCTTGGAGAGGAAAATACCCTGTCCTTGGTCATAGCACACTCGCAGGGGCAGGTGGAGAGAGGCAGGGGCAGAGCCAGAATCTGAATTCAGGTCTGGCCTCGACACCCTCCACCAGACCACAGAGCCCCCAGATTTTCTGGCCTTCCTTTTGCTTTTCCTTGGCAATCCTGCCCCATTAATTTTTATAATTGTCTCAGTGACTACTTTGGATTAATTTCCTTTTCATCTTTTCTTCCCATAGTAAACAAGTTGAGAGAGCTACCCTGGTTCTCTGTGTGGTTTTTCCTCTCAGACACTCCTCGCTTGGGGTTATTTTCGGTCATTTCATTGCTGCAAGCCTCCTTCTTTCTTTGGTGAAAACACACTGGAAACCCACCCTGCTCTTTAGTGAGTCTGGGAAAATCAGGAGTATCTCCGAGGGTGTGGAAGGGAGAGAGGGTGCAAGCTCCACAGAGATTCCCAGACAGTGCGGGGCTCCTCCACCCACCCAGCCTCCGGGCCCATGGGAAGACTCTGCGGACCCTTTTCAGACCTTCCATGGAAGACTGCTGAGCAGTGGGGCTCTGCATTTTTTTTTTTTTTTTTTTTTTGTCTCTGTTCTTAGAAATAGTAATTGAGTAAAAATGTAAGTGAGTGGATGCCAGGGGGCAAGTGTCCAGGGTCAGGGTGAATTTCTCCATGCTGAGTGTGATTCTGAGCACTCGTTAAGTGGAGGCCGGCCTGTGCCAAGCAGCTCGAGGGCCATCCCTGTCACCTTGTGTGAACCGCCTCTCCATTCCAAGGAGATGTTGGGAGCGGCTGGAGGGAGCCCAGGGCCCGTGGCGCCTCTTGCTGTTCTCACTCTCTAACCTGGGTGTAGCTGATAACTCTGTGTTCTGACACCCATGATTTCACTGAAATCCCCTGGAGGATGAAATGGTCCTTGCTCCGCACAGCCCATGTGGTTGCTGAATCATTTTTCTCTTTTTCAATTCATTAGCCCCCACATTCTTGGTTAAGATAACGTTAGCCTGCCTGAAGCTTTTCCTACTGAGACCTAAGAATCTAGAAGATCAGCAACTGAGACAGTCTCTCTGTGAGTACAGGGATTAAAAGTTGTGAAGGCAAATTCAGGTGGTTCTGGGGTTTGGGTTTTGTCTTTTTTCACATCTTTACTGAGTGAGAGGCTTTGAAGGAGCTCTGTGGAGGTTGCAAGACATTGTTGCACCAAGTGTGGCCTGCATGTGCGTCTCCCGAGGTGTCCTAAAGAGCAGATTCCCCGGCCCTGGCCCAGAGCTGCAGAGTCCGAATGGCTGGGGTGGGTGGAGCTGATGCTTGTGTACCTGTAAGTGGGCTCTACATGGTTATTCTGACCTTATTGTAGTCTGCGGCCGCTCAAGGCAGTGGATGCTGTGATGATGCAGGTCTGTTTACCCACAGACCTCCAGCATGGAAGGATTCAGATGAAGCAGGGCCTCTGTGTGATCAACTGGTTCTGCGAGTGTGGGACCCTTCACCCACAGCACAACAGAGTCTTGGCCCCATGCTTTCCCTTCTCCCAAGTGCATACAGAGATCGAGGTAGACCTGTTGTCTGCAGGATCACACATCTCCCCTGGCCGCTGTTCACCACAGAGGGGGCAGTGAGTGTGTAAGCCAATGAGAATCCACCCAGGTGCCTTGAGCTGGACCACTGTGAGTGGGAAGGGGATTTTGAAAACTAAGGTACGATGTGTAAGTGACACAATGTATAAGTCGATGTATAAGGTTTAATTCCCTGAGGTTGTGTTTGGTCGAAGCACTGCCGACCTCTTCATGGCCTGAATCCTGTTCTCAGACATTCCATGGGGTAAGGATCTGGCCGACAATGGAATGTAAACTCTACTCTCTCAGCCAGACTCAGCTTTGAGTAACAGCGGTTTTCTGCTTCCAAGTGAGGTTTTTCTCAACCAGAGGCATTAGAGCAGGTGCAAATCTGATCAGCTTTTAAAAAGAAAAGTTAAGGATAAATTACTTGGCATTTGTGCAATCCTATGCCATCTGCTATTCTGATGTTATTTTGGTTATTTTGGAACCATGAGAATTTTGAATCCAGCCCCACAGTATGGATATTCTGTACCTACTGTAGGATTTTTGGGCTGTCAAACTATTTAGAGAAATATCCAATTCTTCGTGGTCCGTATCACTAACCATCCCACTTGGCTGTTGAAGTATGAAAAGAAGGATGGGTAATGTCAATTCTACTTTCCAAAGAGCCTTTAATGACAAGATCTCTACATTAATTACAAATATAGATACAGTTTTAAGATAAATGTCAAATGCATGCAGAGATTGTGGGAGGATGCAGATAAAAACAGGATGTTCTTAGGATACATTAGTTCATGCAGCGGTATTTGCTGGGTGTCTAGGCACTGTGTGATGCCATCAGTGAATAAAACAGCAAAACACTGGGTCCTTAGAGAGGTCCATGCGTTGGAGGAAGATAAATCATTCATTTAAGGAATTAAATAAGGATGGCAGAAGTTGAAAATATTAGAGGGGAAAACATAGAGCAGGGTTAGGGATGGAGAGGTGAATTGCAATTTCAAAGAAGTTGGGTGTGGGAAGGCACAGGAAGAGGCTGGCATCAAAGCAGAGGCTTGCAGGAGGTCAGAGAGGAGCCTGGGGCTCTCGGGGAAAGAACAGTTTTGGCCCAGGGTACAGCTGGTGCTGCTCTTGACATGTTCAAGGATTATCAGAAATGTCCTAGGAGATGAGATTAGAGAGAGATCGTGTCGGACGCATCAGGTAGCGCCTTGTGGGCCAACATAAAGTCTGTCTGTGGCTTTTCCTCTGAATAAAATAGGGAGCAGGGTGGGTTTAGTCAAGGTTGTTCTGGTGGCTGTTAAGGTGAGAATGGTACACAGGGTGACTAACGGTGGAGCGTGAAGTCCAGTGAGGAGGTCTTTGTAATGCGTTTTGCAGCTGCCTTTCCAGGTGAAACTTCACTCTGTCAAGAATTTCCAATAGTGCTGAGTTCTTTCTTTGTAAATAATCTGATAGGAAAGCTCCAGTGGGTTCTGTATGTAGAATGTGGTTTTTGAAATTTTTTTAAAATTAATATTCCTGAGTTATTGTCAACTCACCCCCTTTCCTTTCGAAAAAGGAGCTATCTGTGTTTTGTGTGACAGGTGTCCTTGCTGTAAGGCCTCCTCACAGCATCTGTGACTTGGTGGGCAGGGACATGTGCCCCTAAGCTCATTGGTGACCATGTGTTGGCCTAGGAGAATGACAGACTACCTTTCCCTGTGGAAACTAAAAGTTGGGCTTCAAAGAGTTTTTGGATCTGTCCAGATGTGCCTAGTGCCTTTCCTTAAGCTTTGAAATGAGGTCAGAAGCCAGGGAATTTGTAAAACTATGTCTCTTATTCGTCGAGAAGCACTTCTGTCGGACCAGAGTTTGCTTTCTAACTTTGAAGTTTGGAACAGGAAGACTGGAATGTGGATTTTAGTCCTTCCTTCATCTGTACAAGAAGTATCTATCGAGTCTACTGTGCACCGGGTGTTGTGCTAGGTCGTCTGACAGATGGAGGAATATAGTGCAGACCCTGTCTTCAGGGAGC